CACCCCCCCCCCCCCCCGGGGGGTTTGTTTTTTCCGCCAGCAGCGGTAGAACACGCTCTTTCTCATCACGGGGGCGAGGAAGCACCACTTGGGCTCGTTGAAAAACGATAACTGGATGCGCTTCCTGTGGCCCCCTCCTCTCACTGTCAGATCCTAGCCCAAAGCGAGCCGAGCGAGTTTTTGATAGATGGCCTGGATCTAAGACCACGAGTGCAACTTCAACCGGCACGCTCCAACCGGTTGTTGCTCTACGCTTCTCTGCACGACAAGATGAGTTTATCAACTTGTTGACTGCTATTTCCGCTAACTTCTCCATCAGAGTGCCACGAGTAATAATGCCAGCGATGGGGGGTTCCCCACGAACTCTGCAAGCTTAGCGTGGTAATCCTCCATGCATCCCGCCTCCATGCCTCCTCCCGCTCCTTTCCTAGATAGTGACTCCTCCAACTCCTGGGAATCGGTGGTGAAGATAAATATGCGATTGTGCTTTCTTTGCTTCACCCCCATCGATCTGCCTGCCAGAACCCTGGCAGGCCGATGCACCTCCGCCTGATGGCCCAGGCGTCGGGCCCCATGAAGGTCCTGGTACACCTCCCCCCTCTTCCTGGCCCGTCATCGGCGGAACACCTGTCGAAGGAGCCTGCTAAGTCGTTGTGCTATCCGAAGGCATTCGAGAAATTCCTCGGAATTACAAGGGAGAAAACCATACCTAGTCCAATAATTGTGTGCCTCCCAAAGCTGATGAAAACGCTCTCGTACGAGTGCCAATCGCTCACGCCTAAGTACAAAGTATACGCCGTGCTGTGGTACGGGCGCGCGCTCGAACGGCTTCCGCGCCGTGCCCTGTACCAACTTGATCCAGTGATCGTAGTGCCTGTCCGTGTGTGTCATCCTTGCATTCTGAGAACGTGCGAGCCGCGTCCGCGAAGCGTGTTTCGAGTTCCTCGTGAAAGTCCTTCCGATGGCTACCTGACTGCGGTGCCTCAGACAAGTTCTGAGAACCCCAAAAGGAAATGGAGAGGATCAGGAATCAATGATTCCTAACGGGCATAATCAATTCTGATCCCCAGAAGAATCAATGACATGCCCGTTATGATTCATAACGGGCACGTCACACTCAACGTCCATGTATACAAGCATGTGATCACGAGGGCGTGCGCTGAGAATCAACTGCAACTCTCGTCCGCTTTTCCACGCTACATGACATCGCTGAACTCCTGGAACGAACCCTCGAGGCAACAAGAACATGTCGATCGTGCTCGTCTCCCCCTTCACCCCAGAGTAGGTCGGACCCGCACTCCTAGAAAAACTACATGGTGCTGCAGATCCAGACCCATGACAAGGTCAGCGACGAGTGTGCCCCCCAAGCCCTGACGACCGGCATGGTAAGGCCCAATATGTTCTCCTGGTTCATCTCTGAGCGAGCCGTCCGATGCGAGACGGAAGCCCGAGTTAATGTCCATCCCTACCATGACTGTGCTGCGCACGCAAGCTTGCTCCACACGTGCGCGAAGATGTTCAAGTGTACTGCGTATTGCTTTCATCTGTGCACGCCTCTTAGCTCCCGAATCATACAAATGCGGGGGATACACAGTGACGAGAGTGAGATCCAATCCAGGGCCTTTGATGCGCACCTCGCCTTACCTGCCTAGGATGTTCGGGGGGCCTGCCTGGACGTGCTTGATGTAGTTAGGGTGTATACGCCTACCAAGGATAATGCAACAGCCTACGCTCGAGTTTGTGTGGTGCACGACTCCATCCGAAATGCACTGCGACTCGTCGGGAGCTCAGTCGTTCCACATGGTATGTACGCCCTGCCCACTCGCGCACGCATGTGCCTTGAAGAAAGACAACGTCGACATCGAGGTGGGAAGCAATATCGTTCACTCTGCCAGCCGAGACCAAGCTTAGCGGGTTGTACGTGACAAACTTAAGAATCATGATAATGTAGAGGAGGAGAGCAAGAAAGACCTGGGAAAAAGTAGGCCCCCCACGCACGTCGCCTACACACATCGCAGACCAGGCCCAGCCATGGACAGGTACAACGCTAGGATGTGAGGTACGCGCAAACGCCTCAACGCGGTGTCCAGTACGTGTGCGAGAGGAAAGGGAGGAGGAGGAGGAGGATAGGGAGGAGGACGAGGAGGGACAAGGAGGCGGGGATGTTTGACCCTCCGACCCCAGACAACCAGGCAGGCCCTGCAAAGACCGAAGATACTCAAAGTCAGCGGACGGCCTGTCATTGGCGTGCTTCCATCGGCCTCTGAAGGATCTGCCTTACTCCTGGGCACAGATTTCCGCAGCGACACCAGAATCGAAACCCGACTGGACCGATAGCGACAGTGAGACCGACCAGAGCCGAAGGCGTCCTGGAAGGACGCGGCGGCGCAGCAATCAACCGAGCTGGACCGACCGACTGCAGTAAACTGCGAAGCAGCCGACCCGACCGAACCGCGGATAACCTTGGTGATCATCGTCGTCTGGTCTTCAGGTCATATCTCGGGTCCCCCCGCAGCCGATCGGGACGATGCGGGCACCCCCAAAACGGTGGAAAACATCCTTGGGCTGGACAATCGCCGAGAAACAAAACACACACACACACACACACACAAACCTTGATCCCAGAATCTCCACCCCCTGGCCCCTTGAGGGGAGCCAGCTGACCGCAAAGGCCTTGATCGTGGCGGTAAGGCTGGCGATGTCCTCCTTGGCCTGGGCGATGCCACTCTCGGTCTTCTCCATGGAAGTCTCGGTCTTCTCCAGGGTGAACTCGAGAGACTTCTTCTTATCGTCAGAATCCGCCGCCCACGTAATGCAATCCGGTGCGCGAGAAGGAGCAAGAGGATAATGAGGAGGAGGAAGAGAAAGCGGAGGAGCACGCGGAGGAGGACGAGGAGGAGGAGGAGGAGAAAGGGGAGGAGGAGGAGGAGGCGGAGGAGGAGGAGGAGGAGGACGACGACGACGACGAGGACGAGGAAAGGGAGTGGAGGCGGAGGAGGAACAAGATAGGGGAGAAGGGGGAGGAGGATGAGAACGAGGAGGAGGAAGAGGGGAGAAGGGGAGAGGAGGAGGAGGGGGAAAGGAAAGAGGATGAGGAGGAACGGGTAGGGAACGTTTGTTTTTACCAGAAGCCGCCAATGTGGCCCCGCACCAGACACGAGGGACCCTTACACGAACCGCGGAGCCGAAGCCCCGAAGAAAGCCTGGCCTCCCCAAGCGCTCACATGCAGGACCCTTCTGGGGACTGGTCAAGGCACGGCTCATCCGATCCATCGGCGGTCTTGCTGCGACGGCGGTTAGGAGGACTTCCTGAACACGCTGGGTCCCCGTTGGGAGCCCCGCGTGTCGGGGACGCAGACCGCGGCGCATTCTACTCAAGTGTTCGTTTCCGCCTCGGTTGTCTCTCCTGTAAGGTAATGCAATAAAACAAACTAAACTTACCAGTTAAAGCCCCCAGAATGCAATAACCAAACAACGAAAACGACAAGAACAAAAAGACAACGAACACAGCACGAAAGCGACAACTGGCCCCAGAAGCGGAGGACATGGGACGAGTCGAACTCGAGGACCTCCTTGTGCAGTCCAGCCAGAGGCGCAGGCGCAGCGGCGCCAGCGCCGAGCTCGCGCGCGTGGCAAGGCGACGCAGCGAAGCGGAGCAACTGGCTCGCGCTCGCCACGCCCAGACAACGGGCGCAGGCCCAACTGCCTGCGCTGCAGGGCTTCAACTCACGCGCTGACATCTCGCAAAACCGCAGTCGCCGCGGCCCTGGAAGGCCGCTTCGGCCAGGACGTCACACACACACACACACACACACACACACACACACACACACACACACACACACACACACGCACACACCGCTCACTGTCAGAAGCAGACGCCAGCTCGAGCGCCTAAGGTGCCCAGCTGCGGACCGCACGGGCCTCAGCGCCCACCAGGTCCGTGGAGAGCTTGAGCCCAATGCGGCCAGCGCGCCAGCCCGTCTCGGCGACGGCGCTCGCGAGATGGTCGCCCGCCCCATTGCCCGCGGCGTGCTCGAAGTCTAGCTTCGACCTCAGCAGGCGCTGGCGCCCCTCCCGGTCCGCGCGCGATGGCGCCCAGGACACCTCGACGATGCCAGACGCCCTGCGCTGCGCCGCAGACCGAGCCCGCTGCAACAGGTCATCGCTGGCGCGGCCTGGCTGCACCAGCGCCGAGACCGTCTCGCCCAGCAGCGCGGGAGTGGTTCGCGGTCGGCCACGCGCCGAACGACGCCGCCCACCGCCTCGAGCGCCAGCGAGGAGCCCAGCGCCTCATCTGGGGACCGTCTGGCGGAGCCCCAGCAGCGGCTCCGCGCGGCTCCGCCCAGCCACCGCCCTCGCCCTGGCCCGCGGCGACCGCGCCAGCGCCGCGCCGTCGTCGCCGAGGGTCGATCGACGAGCGGGGGCCTCTGGAACCATCGCCGTAGACGACAGCGATGCCGTCTGGCCGCCTCGTCAATCGTTCCAGCTCCTCAGCGGCGCCAGTGTCGACGGCCGCCTTCATCGCCAAGCTGTCGCTGTGCGTGGGCGCCGCCTGGCCGCGCGCCTGCGCGCCGAAGGCTGGCCGGCGCTCGGGGCCGGGCCCTGGCGACGCGGTCGCGCAGGCCAGGCCTGGAGAACACCGGCCCGCGCCAGGACGCGGCCACATGAATGCGCAGCGCGACGCGCGGGCCGTCGGGCACCATCGCGGCCGCGAGCAACGAGGTGATACAGCGCCCACGTGCCGCACCTCCCACGACTTGGGCTGCCCGACGACGGAGGCTGCGCACCTGGCCTGGCGGGGCGCCAGGAGTCTGGCGCCACTGCGCGGGCCGGGGCAGAGCGCCCGCAGGCCGCGGGCCAGGCCTCCCAGGCGGCGTTGCCGCAGCACGACGGGGTCGCATGAGATCCGCCTCGTCCGTCGCGCGCGCGCTGCCATGCGCGCCGCGGCCATGGCGCGCGCGCCCGCGACCCGCGGCCGCTTCGGCCCCGGGGCCCACGGCGGCATGCGCCCCCTTGCGCGGGAGGCCGAACTCGGCCAGCTCCTCGGACAAGTCGCGGGCAAAACAGACGAGCCCCAACTGGTCGAGCCCGCGCGCGATGATATTCGCCGCGCGAGGGGGCCCCGCGCCGACGGCAGCAATGGGCCCTTCGAACCGCGCCACGGCGTCGTCGATGAAACTCAGAGGGCCGCCCACGGGCACTGCGCGCGCCCGCGGGGGCAACGGGCGGACGCGCAGCTTGCCAGCTTGCCCAGCGAAGCTCTGCGAGAACCCGCCACCACGGAATGCGCCGACCGCGCCGCCGCGGAGACGCCGCACTGACCGCCCCCCAGGGAACGCCGGGCCAGGGACATCTGGACCTCCAGAGCGACAACCACAGCTGAGTAGCTGAAGTTCTCTGCAATCCCCATCAGATTAACTGGCGACACCGCGTCGCAGAGAGCCCCGGCGCCCAGGTCGAGCGCGGCGGCGGCCACCTCCAGCTCCACCCCCGACTCGCCGAGGAGACCGCGCACCATGGCCGCGGGCAGGGCGCTCGAGCCGCGGGCAGCTGAGCCCCGGAGGGCCTCGAAATCCAACGACCGCGTCGACGTCGCAGCGGCGCAGGCCCCGGACCAAGCCCTCGGCGCCAGCGGCGGCATGCCGACGACGCGCTCGCCGCCCAGCTCCTCGGGGAGAGCTCCCCCACTCACGCCCCAGAGCTGGCGCGGCCAGCAGCAATGCTCCTCGCGCATCGCGAACGCGCACATCAGCTCGTCGCAGCCCGTTCGGCCTGGGCCGTCGACACCACGAGCCCTCTTGGAACCCTGCGCCTTCGCGGCGCCAACCAGATTGGCGAGCTCCAGCGGGCGGATCCAGCGGGCATGCGCCCGCAGGGCGACAGGTGGCCTGAATCGCGGACCGCCGGTCGCCCCAGGAGTTGGCGGGGGCCTGCCGCGGCCAGACCAAGCGCAATGCAGCATCGCAAAATGCGGCCCCGCGACGGGCGCGCCAATCACGACGAGCCCCCGGTTTTCCGAGGGCTGCGTCGCGAACCCATGCCGAGACTCCAGGGCTGCCCCGCCGCGTCTTCCGAGGCCAGGCCGCGCGCTCGCGGCCGTCGATGCCTGCGGCTCGGACCTTGCCGTCGGTGGCGAAGTGCCCAGGGACCTCCAAGCGTCGCCTCGAGCTCGCCCGCCAGGATCTCGAGAGCGACGCAGACCATGAGCTCCCACGCAGGAGTCGCCTCCGAGCCTACCGCGCGGTTGAAGTGGCTGCTGGGGCCCACCAAATTGAGCTCCACGTGCCGTTTGAGCATGTCGTTGCACCGCTGCTGCTGGCCCTCGGCCCCCTTGCATCGCGCCTGACGCGCGCCGGCTGCTCGAGGGGGGAGAGCGCGACCGCCCGCTGCTCAGCAGCCCAGCGCCGCAGGTGCGCCCGACCAGGAGAGGGCGTGAGCTTGGACCACTCGAGGTCGCAGCCCTCCGCTCGACACGCGCGCTGGCCCCTCGCCTCCTTGGACGCCTTGCCGGCGTCGAGTAGCGCCGCCCCCACATTGGCCACCCAGCGCGCATAGAGGTCGCGAAGCAGGCCGTCGACGCCGTCTGCCATCTGCACCGGGCGATGGCCGCGGATCTCCTGCCTGGCGCCGTTTCAATCACTGCGCTGCAAGCTGGGAATTGCGACTGCAGCCCAGGCCCTTGAAATTACACGGTACAACGCGCGGGCCCACAGGTCGTCGTCGCGAGCCGGGGGGGGCGGACAGCCTCGCCGTGACCCTCTCGATCAACTGGAGCACGACTGCCACCTCCGACGGGGCGCCAGCCGAAGTCGGCGGCCCAGACCGCTCTCCTGCCCGCCGCGGGCTGCCGAACGCGATGGCACCACTCCAAGGACGCAGGCGCCCCTCTCATCGGTCGGGCCGACCTGCTGCGAGCGGCTCGACAGCCCAAAGCCTGACCGCCGCGCAACGTGGCGCACGATGTCCCCACTCCAAGACGCGGGCGCCGCTTCCATCAGGCGGGCCGACGCGCTGCCCTACTCGCTGCGAGCCCAAGTCTGGCTCTGTGCTCTGTGTTGCACCAGCACCGCCAAGCAGGAGATGCGCTCGGCGGCCCAGGACCCTCCTCTTGGCCGCCGTGGGATGCCGAACACGATCGCCCCATTCCAAGAACGCGCTTTTCACGAGGCGGGCCGACATGCTGCGCAAGTCGCATTGAACCCCCCCATCTCCGCCCTGGCGGGACCCCCACGACCCCAGTTCCAGGGCTGGCTGCGCAGCACCAGCACTGCCAGGCAAGGGAGGTATCACTCCAGCACAACTCGACGGCCCAGGAACGTCATCCTGGCCGCCGTGGGATGCCGTACCCGAAGATCCCACTCGAACGACGTGGGTGCACCTTTAACCAGGCGGGCCGACCTTCTGCAGCTGCACCGAAGATGGCCCAACGCAAGACCCTCGCCACAAACCAAACTAGGGAAGATCGGAAATGCCTGGGTCGACGCGGCCAGACCCTCGCGAGGGCTGCAACTCCCTGTGGCTGCCGGCGACCCCGTAGACGTCGCACTGACGGCGGTCGACGGGCGGCGTAATTACGTTCTGACGTCGGCGTCACCCCGGAGCCACCTGCGGCGATGTTGCCCGTGCCCTCCGCGGTGCTGGCGTCGGAGCTGGCGATGGCGACAACGTTACCGCCGGCTCTCCCAGCGGCCTCCGAAGCTGCCCCCCAGCGCTTCCAGCGGCCCCGTCGGCCCCACAGGCAGCCTCATCAGCGGCCCCGCGGCTGGGCGACACCTGCTGTCACCCAGGCGAACAGTGGTGAAATCAAATGCCACCGATTCCCGGCGCCTTGGGGCGGGGCTGGGGGCCCCTGGCGACCCCGCTGGCTCCCCCAGCGGTCTCCTCAGCGGGCCCCCCCAGCGCCTCTGGCGGCCCCGCCAACCCAACCTGGTTGCCTCTTGGGCGGTCCCGCGGCAATTCTTCACGGCCCCTTGCCTCCGCATACGGGGGCGACCGACTCCCCGGGGGGAGGGCTCTGGCATTTCGGTCTGCGGCGGCGCCGCTGCCGTGCCCTCGGCAGGCAGGTTCGAGGACCCCGAAGAAGGCATCACCAGGACCGTCGTCTGCCCAAGCCGCTGCGGAGGCCGCCGCTGCCTCCGCTTCCTCCGCCGCAGCACCCGTGTCCAGCATGGCCAGCATCTCCGCGTCCACGTCGGTCTGAAGGCACGCGAGGTCGGCGTGCAGATGCCCCTCCAGCCTGGCACGCCGCCCTGCGAGCGACTCCGCCTTCCTCTTGGAGGGGTCGGGATCGCCTGCGGGATAGTCAGCTGACCAGGTTGCCCTGCTTGAGGTGCAGGGTGAGCGGCGCGAAGTCTTCCAGCAACGCCTCGCGGGCTCCACGCTGGGATGCCATCCTCAGGTTGCTGAAGGTGGACGTGGCCATGTCGATCCTCGCGGCAATGAGCTCGCCGCCTCTGGCGCCTGTCTCGGAGTTTGTCGAGTTCCAGGCTGCTGCTCCTGTGGTACACCACCCACTGCGAGCCAAGCTGCTGATCGCTGTTAGGTGCTTGACCTCGTTTAGGTGCGTCTCAGCGCGCGCCATCATACTGTATTGCCTGAGGCCCCCAGCGCTCCTCACTGGCGAAGAACACCGCTGGGTCTCTGGCATCATGCTTGGGGGGACCTCGGCACTCAGCGCCACCAGTTTCTTCCTAGCCGACTCCCCCTGCACTGCGCGCCACGCAGGTGGTCACCCGCGCGACTTGCCTGCGCACTGCCCAGGAAAAACATGAGCCGGAGCGCCCGCAGCTGCCGCCGTGCCGGCTGCGCTCACCCCCTTGGCGAGCTACTGGTCCGCGAAAACCTTGGTGGCCTTCTCGACGGCGGCGGCGACCTCGCGCTGGTGCTGGGCCGGCCGCTCTGGGGAGGGAGCTGGCGGTTACGAGGGGTCGGTGATGCCTGCCAATGCCGATCCTGCCTCGGGGCCACCTGCGGCTTCTGGGCGCACTGGCTCGGGGGAGGGGGCACCTCCCGCCACAGGCCCCTCAGCCGCGCACCGTTTCTTGGCCACCAAGTGCAGCAAAGGAGGAGGAAGAGGAGGAGGAGGAGGAGGAGAAGAAGAAAGAGAAGGAGAGGGGGGAGGAAGAGAAGGAGGAAGAGGAGGAGGAGGAGGAGGAGGAGGAGGAGGAGGAGGAGGGGGAGGAGGAGGAGGGGAGGAGAGGAAGGAAGAGAGGAGCGAGCAGGCTGGGGACGAACACGCATTGCAAAAACAGGCGCCCGGTGGAATATGCCCCCAAAAGGCTCAATCATCCATGATTTCGGGAGGGTGCCAATCCGCGCATCCGCGCCCAGGTCCCTGGTGGCACAGAAGGGGGGAAAGAAGACAGATAAGCACAAGAAGAAGAACAAATACAGGAGGAAGAATGAGGAGGAGAAGAATAATGAGAAACCGAAGCCTTAGCCGAAGTTAGAAAACAAGAGAAAGACCCCTGGGGGGCCCACGTAAGCTCTCCTGACCAACGCCTCGCCAGCAGGGCGATCAGAGGGGGCTTGCGGCCACCCACCGCCAGGTGTCCCGCATCGTCGAACTGGAGTTCGCAGTACTCCTTCTTGTGCTCGTCATCCAGCTGCTCCTCCTGCGATGTGTGCGAGATCAGTCAGCACCGAATCGGAAAATCGGTTCGGAACGTGAGTCGGATCGGACCGCGTCGGCACGGAGTCGGAACCGAATCGGATCAGCCGCGCCAGGGTGCACAGCCCAGAACATCGCAAACCGAATCGGATCGATCAGGCCGAAATAGATATCGAATCAGATCGGTCGGATCGAAATGGCTCTTGGTGTGCACCAGACCAAGATTTCCGACGATGAGATCTTTGCCGACCCTCTCGTTCTGAATAGAGCACTGCGATCCTAACCCTCCTCCCTCTCCCTCCCTATCGTCCTGCCCCCTCCTCCTCCTCTTCATGCCTCCTCCTGTGCTGCTCCCTAGGTGGCTGCGAACTGCGCAACTATCGCCACTTTCGTGGGCTCATGGGAGGCATGGCGGAGTCGGGGAGCAAACGGATCCAGACTAGCCCTCGCAGCTCCCTGGGTGGCTGCGAACTGCGCAACCGTCGCCACTTTCGTGGAGGCACGGCGGAGTCGGGGAGTGAACGGATCTAGACTAGACCTCGCAACTGCCAGGGTGACTGCGAACTGCGCAACCATCGCCATTTTCGCGGGCTCATGGGAGGCACGGCGGAGTCGGGGAGCAAACGGATCCAGATAGCCCTCGCAGCTCCCTGGGGAACCACAAACTAACAACAACTGTCGCCACTCTCGTGGGCTCCTGGGAGGCACGGCGGAGTCGGAGAGTAAACGCATCCAGACTAGACATCGCAGCTCCCTGGGTGGCTGCGCTCTGCGCAACTGTAGCCACTTTCGTGGGCTTCCAGGAGGCACGGCGGAGTCGGAGAGTAAACGGGTCCAGGCTAGACCTCGCAGCTGTTGGGTGGGGGGCACGCGCGCCCAGACGAGGCTTCGCTGCTCCCTGGGTGGCTGCGAACTGCGCAAGCGTCGCCATGTTCGGGTGCTCCTGGGAGACCCAGCGGAGTCGGGAGCCACGCGCACCCAGACGAGACATCGATGCTCCCTGGTCGGCCGCGCTGTGCGCAACTGTCACCATTTCCGTAGGCTCCTGGGAGGTCCACCAGTCGGGGGGGACACGCGCACCCAGACGAGACCTCGCTGCTCCGTGGGGACTTGCGAATGTCGCAACTGTTGCCGCTTCTTAGGGTCATGAGAAGCACGGCGGGGTCGGGGGGGCACGCACACCCATCAGAGGCGTTGCTGCTCCCTAGGTGGCTGCACCTGCGCACGTGTCGCCACTTTCGTGGGCTCCTCCTGGGAGCACGGCGGCGTCGGGGGGGCACGCGCACCCAGACGAGACCTCGCTGCTGCCTCTGGGTGGCTGCCAACTGCGGAACTGTCACCACTTCATCGGGAGCGGCCAAGAGGGGGGTGTCCAAGAGGGGGGAGTGCAAATCATGACCGGCGGCATGTGCGCGGCCCAGCGGGGGGGCCAGGAACGTAATGAAATAAGAAGAGGCGCCATGAAATCTAGGGAAATATCATGGCCCCCGCCATGATATCCACCCCCCCCTAGTCATCACCCCCCTCTTTTCCGCCCCCGACTTCAGGGGGCTCCAGCATCGAATCGATATCAACAAGTCGAGCCGGGTCGACCCGAACATCGAATCGGCTTCAAATCGGCAGAATGCGGCTGCCAAATCGACATCGGCAAGAGCCGGCAGGGCCGGGTCGGATCGAGTCGGAAACAAGCTGGACGGACGCCGGATCGGAATCAAAATCGGCAGGCACAATCCGCGCGTCCTCTAGCAGGACTCGTTACTGAAATCCCCGTCCGTCGAACGTTGTCGTACGACGTCCGACGTCGTCGAACGTCGTCGCCATCGTCGTCCTACCGTCCGTCGACCGTCGTCGCACGTCGTCCATATCGTCGAACGTCGTCGCAATCGTCGTCGTGAGTCGTCAATCGTCCTCCAACGTCGCCGAAGCTTGCCCAGTGACTGGGATCTGCACTGCAAAGCCCCCTCCAGAGGAGCTTTGCAGACCCACCTGGGGGAGGGTTTGTGGACACCCCGGGGAGGAGGTTGTTTGTGTACCCCCCTGGGGAGGATTTGCGACCCCCCCCCAGAGGAGATTTGTGGACCCCCCCAAAGGGAGGGGTGAACCGCTCCCGGGGAGGGGGGTGGTGGATCCCCCCAGGAGGTTCTCCCCGTGAAAGGGGTTTGAAAACCCCCATGGGGGAGGGCTTGTGAACCCCCCCGGTCCGCGGCATTCCTCCAGCACAAGTTTGCAGATGCCCCCCAGAATAGTTTGTGTACCCCCTCCCCCCCCCGGTGGGAAGTTTGTGGACCGCGCAAAATGGGGGATTTCTGGACCCCCTCGAGAAGGGTTTGTTTCTTCCCCATTACCCTCCCCCTGCTCGACTGAACCGACGATTTCCTTCCGCCCCTCCCACCACTGTGCCAACGACTCCCTCAACCCGCGGAAACCTGAGAACCGACAACCTCCCCATCCTCCTCCCCCTTCTCCTCCTCCTCCTGTTCCTCGTCCTCTTCCCCCCTCCCCCCTTAGGATGTGCACCCTGGAAAGCGGCATACATTCTTTCCCTTTGACGCAGTCGCACAGTCAGTTGTATTGCATTGCGCTCCGTTCCACTTTTTCCTTCCGCCCCCCTCCTCCCCCTCCTCGTTCGTCCTCCACCTCTCCTCCTCGCTCCTCACAATCCTCTTCGTCCTCCTTCCGATCATCCCAACCTCCCTCCTCCCTCTTCCTCCCCTCCTCCTCCTCCTCCTCCTCCACCTCATCGTTTGTCTCCCACGCCTCCTACCCTCCTCTCATCCCTCCTCCCGTCCTCCTCCTCCCTCCTCCCTCCCTCCTCCTCCTGCCTCTTGCTCCTCTCCCTCTCCTCCCTCCTCCCCCTGTCTCCGCCCTCCTCCCTCCTCTCCTCCTCCTCCTCCTCCTCCTCCTCCTCCTCCTCCTCCTCCTCCTCCTCCTCCTCCTCTTCTTGCATTTGTATATTGTACTTCCTCCTCCTCCTGTTCCCTCCTTCCTTCTCCCTCCTGCCTCCTCCCTCCTCCCTCCTCCCCCCCCTGCCTCCTGGTTCCTCCTTCCTCCTCCCTGATCCTTCGTCCATCTACTCGGCACGCGGCAACGCCCGCGGGGCGGAAACTTAAACTATGTCACTTTACTCGCTACGTGGCAAACGCCTGGGAGGCGACAGTATGCTACTCCAGGTCTCCTCGCGTCGTGGCAACGCTTGCGGGGCGGAAAACAATACTATTCCACTGGAATTGCCACGTGGCAGCGACTGGGAAGCGAAACATGAACAACTCTACTCCGACACTCGCCGCGGGGCGACGCCTTGTGGAACGAAAACACGTAATTCCATTCGATTCGCCATGTGGCAACGCCGCGGAACGGTAACAACTACAGCGCAACTCCATTCGCAGCGGCGCAACGACAGACTGGCGAACAAAATATCATACAATTTTACGCGCCACATGGCAACATCGCAAAACTAACAAAAGCTACTCTATTGCACTCGACGTGGTAACGCCGCGGAAGCGAACACAAAAATGATTCCGGCACGTGGCTCCGAAACGGACAAGGACGACGACGATGACGACGACGACAACGACGACGACACGGACGACGACGACGACGACGACGACGACGACGACGACGACTACGACGACGACGACGACGACGACGACGATGATGATGATGATGACATCGACGACGACGACGACGACGACGACGACGTCGAACGACGACGACGACGTCGACGACGACGTCGACGAGAATGGCGACGACAACAACGACAACGACGACGACGACGACGACGACGACGACGACGACGACGACGACGACGACACGGACGGCGATGACCACGACGACGACGACGACGACGACGACGACAATGACGCCCGCCCGCCCGCGCGCCCGCCCGCCAGCCCGCCGAAGCGCGCCTGCTCGCGCGCCCGCCAGCCCGCCGAAGCGCCCGTCCGCCCGCGCGCCCACACGCGCGCCCCCGCCCGCCTTGTAGCTCGCCCACTGCCAATTCCACCATCGATCTCACGATGGATCCCGCTGTGGATCGCACTATGGGTATCACTATCGATCCCACGAACGCTCTCACTATCAATATTAGTGCCGATCCCACTATCTCACTATCGATGTCACGATCGTTATCACTATGGATCCCACCATCGACCTGACAATGCATCTCAACATCGGTCTCAATATCGATCTCATCATCCATCTGAAAACCCATCCCGAAATCGATCTCGCGATCGATCTCAGAATCGGTCTCACAATCGATCTCACCATCGATCTCACCATCGATCTCACCATCGATCTCCCCATCGATTCCACTATCGATTTCACTATGGATCTCCCGATCGACCTCACGAGACACCACGGAACACTAAGGACACCGCGCCACGTGACACCACGGGCCACCGCGGGACAGCTCGACATCACTCAAAATTCCCCCCCTCCCCCCTCCTGCTCGGCCGAAAAGAGAGCAGCACCACATTGAAACGACGACGGCGACGGCAGCGACGAGGGAGGCGGCGGAAGCGGCGGCGCCCCCCCTCCTCCTCGTCGATCGTCGTCGTCGTCGCCGATCGTCGTCGTCGTCGTGATCGTCGTCGTCGTCGTCGTCTTCGTCGTCGTCATCCGTCGTCCGTCGTCCGTCGTCCGTCGTCGTCATCGTCGTCTTCGCCTCCCCTGTTTCTCGAGTCGTTCCTCCTCCTCCTCCTCGCACCCTCCTCCTCCCTGCTCGTCGACGTCCTCCTCCTGGAAGGATGCCAAAGGAGGAAAGTCTAGGAAGGCAAGAGTAGGAAACCGCCTGGAGCACCGCCACCACAATGTGGGTGCGAATCCCGCAGTGTCGTAACCTCTGGCGGATCGATCCCCCTTGTGGTGTCCAATTGCCACACTTGCTGTATCGCGGTAGGCGCTGGACCAAAGACAACGATAACAACTATTGGGCAGCGCAGATGCCAATAACGCTGGTCACGCACTCTGGCCTAAATAAAATTATGTTTTCAGTCGCCCGCATAAATATATCCAGATTAATGTAAGTCACCCGTTTGGAGTCATCAAATTTTGGTTTGTCTGGCATATGGTCTTGATTCGCCTGGTTTAAATTCATCCGGCTTTCATTCGCTCGTTCAAAATTTAAAGTCGCCGTGCTTAATTTCATCCCTTTTTGATTCGCCCTGCTCAAATTCATCCGGTTTCAATTCGCCTGGTGTGAACTCATTTGGATTTAATTCGCCCGGTTTGAATACGAAACCACGCAAAGGCGAAGCGGACGAAACAAAAGCGGACGAAACAAAAGCGGGCGATTCAAAAGCGGACGAAACAAAAGCGGGCGAAACAAAAGTGGGCGAGACAAAAGCGGGCAAAACAAAAGCGGGCGAAACAGAAGCGGAAGAAACAAAAGCGGATGAAACAAAACTCCTCCGTTGTGGCGCCCCCTGGAGAAGGTTTTCAAACCCGCCCCGGGAGAGGTTTGTGGACCCTGCCGGGAGGGGGTCTGTAAAACCCCCCCATTCAGGGGGTTTGCAATCCCTCCCCGGAAGGTGTTCGTGGACTCCCCCAGGAAGTTTGCGCCGCCCCCCCCGCCCGCGAATGGTTTGCGGACCTCCCCTGGGGGGAGTTTGGACCCCTTGGGGGCCCGTATGGGGACGTCGGGAGCCTTTGGGGGGGCCCTTCGGGGGGGTTGCCGTCGTCGCCACCTACTCCTCCCTCCCTCCCCCCTCCTTCTCCCTCCGTCCTCCGTCCTCCTCCTCCTCCTTAGGTGGGATCCCTCCGAGTCGAGTCGAGGCCTGCGGCTAGCCTCGTCTCCCCCGTCGACGTCGCGGTGGGCGCCGTCGTCGCCGTCGACGTCGCCGCCGGAGGCCGTCGTCGTCGTCGACGTCGACGAAGAGGATCCCCCCTGCTCCCCCTGAGCTAAGCCGGATCGGAAATCGGCAGAAGTCTCCGAAACATCGAGAATCGGCAGCAGTCGGATCGGGCGAACTCGAAATCGGAATCGTGAATCGGAATGTTCACATCGAGTCGGATCGAATCGGCAACCCTTGAAATCCTTTTTAATCGGCCTGGAGGAATCTGAAATCGCCCTGCCACTTTCGTGTTATCCTGGATGTCAAACGGAGTCGGGGGCCACGCGCACCCAGACGAGACCTCACTGCTCACTGGGTGTCTATGAACTGTGCAATTGTCACCACTTTCGTGAGCTCCTGGAAGGTCCAATGGAGTTGGGGGCCACGCGCACCCAGACGAAACCTCGCTGCTCCCTGAGTGGCTGCGAACTGCGCAATTGTCGCCACGTTCGTTGGCTCCTGGGAGGTCCAGTGGAGTCGGCGACCGCGGCCCTCTGGGAGGCTACGAAGTGCGCAAGTGTCGCAACTCGCGTTGGCTCGTGGGAGGCACGGCGGAGGTGAGGGCAGCGCAGATCGTGAATATCTGGCGATGAGTTCTTTCGTGTGGAGCGCTCCGGCAAAAGATTCGCCTCACGTGGAGAAGGGGTTGGGTACGTCTCGGGTAATTTCTCAACCCTCCTGTGATGGTTTACCGTTTCGAATAGAGCACGGTGGTCGCACACACTCCTCTTCCACCACCCCCCCGTCCTGTCTCCTCCTGCGCTGCTCCCTGGGGGGGGGCTGCGAACTGCGCAACGGTCGCCGCATTCGTGATCTCATGAGAGGCACGGAGTAGGGGAGTAAACGGATCCAGACATCACCTCGCAGCTCCCAGGGGGGCTGCGAACTGTGCAATTGTCGCCACTTTCGTGGGCTCATGGGAGGAGGCACGGCGGAGTAGGGGAGTAAACGGATCCAGACCAGACCTCGTAGCTCCCTGGCGGGCTGAGAACTGCGCAAGTGTCGCCGCTTTCGTGCACTCCAGGGAGGCACCGCAGGGTAGGGGAGTAAACGGACCCAGACTAGACCTTGCAGCTCCCTGGGGGTCTGCGAACTGCGCAACTGTCGCCACTATCGTGGGCTACTGGGCGGCACGGCGGAGTAGGGGGGTAAACGGACCCAGACTACACCTCGCAGGTCCCTGGGGGGCTGCGAACTGTGCAACTGTCGCCACTTGCGTAAGCTCCTGGGAAGCACGGCAGAGTAGGGGAGTAATCGGACCCAGACCAGACCTCGCTGCTCCCTGGGTGGCTGCGAACTGTGCAAGTGTCGCCACTTTCGTAGGCTTCTAGAAGTCCAGCGGCGGGGGCCACTCGGATCCAGCCGAATCCTCGCAGATCCCTGGTTGGCTACGAGCTGCGCAAATGTCGCCACTTTCGCGGGCTCCTGGGAAGCACGGCGGAGGTCAGGGCAGCCCCGATCGTGCATATCTGGCGATGTGTTCTTGTGTATGGAGCGTTCATACAAAGATTCGCCTCGCGTGAAGAAGGGGTTGGGTACGCCTCGGGTAAGTCTATTATGGCGGCTCGTCGATGAAAACTGCCTCCCTGGGGCCATGCTCGGGCCCCGTGGCCACCAGGCACGGATCCAGAGCGCAAAACTGCCCCTGGGGATGGGGTCTGGAGATCTGGGACCGCGGAGTGAACGAAACACATCGTCGGATGTCCAGGGGAGCGGCCATGCCCTATATTGCCCTCCTCCTCTCCAGTGAACTCCTTCTCCTCCCTCTCCTGCTCCTGCTCCTGCTCCTGCTCCTGCTCCTGCTCCTGCTCCTCCTCCTCCTCCTCCTCCTCCTCCTCCTCCTCCTCCTTCTCCTCCTCCTCCTCCTCCTCCTCCTCCTCCTCCTCCTCCTCCTCCTCCATCTCCTCCTCCTCCATCTCCTCCTCCGTCCTCATCCATCTTCCCTTCAGCTCCCTCCAACTCGACCTTCACCTCCTCCACCGTGGTCCAAGCCCCCACGGATGACGATCCTTCAACATGACGACCATCTCGTCGATCATCTTGATGACCTTGTCGAAAGACACCTTGCGGCCAGACAGGGACAGCATGATGAGGTCGAGCTTGACGTGCCCCTGAGACCCGAACTGTCTGTAGAATAATATCAAGTGGTGCTCGATTATATATAAAAAATAAATGTGTATGTGGATATAGCTACATGTATATATCTACACGTGTGTATATACACAATGACATATATCGGACACCGTGCCCTGAGGCACGAGTTGGAGCATCCTCAAGTCATTGGCCCAACCCCTTAAGCTTCAGTCCTGGACCCCCCCAAAAAATTACCAAATCTCCTGGGGCTCCCAGCGTGCCCTCTGGGCTCACCCGAGCGGTGGCGCATGATGTGTTCGGGGCCACGAGGGGCCCAAGACGGGCCAAGAGGGCCCCAAGAGGCCGTCCAGACGGTCCAAGGGCGCCCCGAGTCGCCGAACGATCGGTCCAAGACGCCCAAGATGGCCCCAAGACGGCCCAAGAAGCCTTCTAGACGCCCCAAGAGAACCTCAAAGGCCTCCCAAAGTGGGCCCCGAGATGACAAAATCACTGATTTCCCCTAGGTTGTTCAATGTTTGGGGGGTTCTCCAGTTTCGGAGCTTCCGACGCTCAAAGACGTTCCGAATGGCCCGCAAGGCCTCTCCAAGACGGCGGCGGCACTCCCTATAGAAACGTGTGACGGGTGCGCCGAACAGAGGGCGGAACTGCATGCGAATTTTCCCACTGGTGTCCCCGGTGGAGCTCCATATGGGGCCACGAACCTTGTGGTGCGCCGAACTGATGGCGGAACTGCATACGAATTGTCCCACTGGTGCCACCAGTGGAGCTCCCTGTGTGGCCACGAACCGTGTGAGTGGTGCGCCGAAATAGGGGAGGGAACTGCATGCGAACTGTCCCACTGAGGCCTTCGGTGGGGCTACCTATGGGGCCACGAACCGTGTGAATGGTGCGCCGAAGTGCGGGTAGGAACTGCATGCGAACTTTCCCACTGGGGCCTTCGGTGGAACTCCCTGTGAGGCCACGAACCGTGTGAGGGGTGTGCCGAAATGGGAGAGTGGAACTGCATGCGAACTTCCCCACTGGGGTCTTAGGTGGAGCCCCCCATGGAGCCACGAAACGTGTCAGGGGTGCACCGAAATGGGGGGTGAAACTGCATGCGAACATCCCCACTGAGGCCTGCGGTGGGGCTCCCTATGGGGCCACGAACCGTGTGAGTGGTGCGCCGAAATAGGCCGGTGGTGCCATGTGAACTTTCCCACTGGGGCCTTCGGTGGAACTCCCTACGGGGCCACGAAACGTGTGAGGGGTGTGCCACGAGGATGATGACGATGATGATGATGATGATGATGATGATGATGATGATGATGATGATGATGATGATGATGATGATGATGATGTTGAGATTGATGATGATGATGATGATGATGATGATGATGATGATGATGATGACGATGAAGATGCTGATGACGATAATGGTGACGATGATGATGATGATGATCATGATGATGACGATGAACATGGCGACAAGGAGGGCAGAGGCAAGGAGAGGGAGGAGGGAGGAGGGGCAGGAGAGGAGAGGGAGACGAGACGCGGGGCGCTGTCCCCTCAAAACGAAGACTCAACACCACAAGATGGATGGGATTAACAAACAAAACGCGAAAATCCATGGAGTTGCTTGCTCCGTTTTGCTACGATGGGATTCCGCTGTACTAAAGTGGGCATTCCGCTTTACGCAAAAGGGTCGCCCGCTGTACTAAACTGGTCGCGTGTGTAAATCTACAGCATCTCAGCGTGTTCGGTCGCTGAAATAAAGTGGCTCGCTGGAATCACTCAAGGTTCTCTGCCAAACACAAACGGATTTGGGGTCCGAGAATTGCCAATGCTGGGCCTCAGAAATGTGAAATGTTGGGACTCGCCAATGGGGCCTTGGCAGGCTCCTGAATCGTGCCTCCCGAAGCCCCTGACATGTCTAGACCCCTTCTCCGCGACTCCAGGGCTATTTTTCTCTGCGACCCCAGAGCCCGAACCCCCTCTCTCTCTCTCTCTCTTTCTATCTCTCTCTCTCTCTCTCTCTCTATCTCTCTTTTCTTCGTTTCTATATATATATATATACATATTTCTATATATCCGCCGGCCCCCTTGTGGGGCCACCAGGCTGTAGGCGCGGGTTCGCAGTTTCCTGTACCAGTTGTAGCTTGTAGTTTCCAGTGTTACAGTTCTGCTTCTTGCTGGTTGCTGTAACTAGTTGATTGACCGCGCGAGGGGGGGGAGGCCCAAACCAGATATTTAACACCTCCTGGGCGCGTTGTCTGAATTGCTGGGGGGGCTCGAAATCGACACCCCTCACACAGATCGGCGGGGTCAGGGTCCAAAAACTCAGGGGATTTGCCGCATTTCTGAAATCGGTGCCACCCCTCACGCAGATCCGCGGGGTCAGGGTCCAAAAACACATTGGATTTGCCACATTTCTGAAATTCGGTGCCACCCCTCACGCAGATCCGCGGGGTCAGGGTCCAAAAACACATGGGATTTGCCACATTTCTGAAATTCGGTGCCACCCCTCACGCAGATCCGCGGGGTCAGGGTCCAAAAACACATGGGATTTGCCACATTTCTGAAATTCGGTGCCACCCCTCACGCAGATCCGCGGGGTCAGGGTCCAAAAACACAGGGGATTTGCCACATTTCTGAAATTCGGTGCCACCCCTCACGCAGATCCGCGGGGTCAGGGTCCAAAAACACAGGGGATTTGCCACATTTCTGAAATTCGGTGCCACCCCTCACGCAGATCCGCGGGGTCAGGGTCCAAAAACACAAGGGATTTGCCACATTTCTGAAATTCGGTGCCACCCTTCACGCACATCCATCGCAAGGCGTGGTAACCCAAACTGCGAGAACTCCCTCGGCCCTTTAATCGCAAGGTGTGGTAACCAAGCCCGTAAACCATACACGTCTTACCAATCGCCAGGTGTGGTAACCCCTCTTGTGATCAGTTGGTTTTGCTGATTGCGAATCGGCGTCGCATGAAGTTTCGATACTGCTTCACGACAGCGCCAAGGCCTCATGACTTAGCCCTTCCATGGCCCATTCTCCGAGAGAGGGGGCCGGCGGCAGGGGGCGAAGCCCTTACGGGTATATATATATATATACATACATGTATACATGTATACACACATTACCTTACACACACACATATATATATATGACGATACATATATATATACATATATATATGTATATATATATATATTACTCCATATATATATATGTACATCTAGATATACCTACATACATATAAATGTACACATATATGTGCCTACCTCTTCTCTCTCTCTCTCTATGTATCGCTCTATCTCTCTCTCTCTCTTTCTCACTCCTCTTTTTCTCCTCTCTCTCTCTCCCTCCGTCTATATTTCTCTCTTTCTCTCTCTCTCTCCCTCTTTCTTTGTGACATTCCCGAGCCTACGCTTCTCGGACCCCTGGACCCCTTTCTCTGGTACCCAGTGCCCCTCTCTCTGGCAGCCCAGAGATCCTCCCCATGGTACCCCAGGAGCCCTGCTCTTTGGCACTCCTTAGCGTTTCTCACTCTCTCTCGTTTCTCTCTATCTCTCTCTCTCTTCTCTCTCTCTCTCTCTGTCTCTCTCTCTCTCTCTTTCTCTCTCTCTCTCTCTTTCTCTCTCTCTCTCTCTCTTTCTCTCTCTCTCTCTTTCTCTCTCTCTCTCTCCTCTCTCTCTCTCTCTCTCTCTCTGTCTCTCTCTCTCTCTCTCTCTCTCTCATATATATATATATATATATATATATATGTGCGTGTGCCTCTCTCTGCCTTCCTCTCTCGCTCTCTCTCTCTCTCTCTCTTTCTCCCTGACTGTTTCGTTTATGTATATATTTCTCTCTCTGTCTCTCACTCTCTCTCTCTCTCTCTCTCTCCCTCCCTCCCTCCCTGTGTATATATACACACACGTGGCACCCCGCAGTTGCGGATACGAGTGAGGGGGGCGGCGGGGACGTCTGCCGTCTGCGAGGCCCTGACAAAGCCTGCCGCCGGCGCCTCATTTTTACAAGTTAAATGCATAGGGCCCGCCGCAGGCGCCGATTTTTCGTTAAAGCAATGTGGGTGGGTCGCGGGGTGGGTCGTGGGTACGTCGCGCTTTGATCGCGGGTGGGTCGCGGGTGGATGGCGGGTGGGTCGCGGGCTTGGTCGCGGCCACGTCGCGGGCCAGGTCGCGGGTGGGTCGCGGGTGGGTCGCTGGTGGGTCGCGGGTGGGTTTCGGGTGGGTCGCGGGCGGGTCGCGGGGGGGGGGTCGCGGGTGGATCGCGGGTGGGTCGCGGCTTGGGCTGCGGGTGGGTCGCGGGCGGGTCGCGGGGGTCCTGGCAAAATGGTCAGACAATCTCAGGCGGGAGCCGTTGTTGTTGTAAACCAGGGGCCAACAACGCAGGTTGAGCGTAGTGGCTTCCCCTGTTAAAAAACAAGATGCGAGCCCCGGAGGAAGCACTTCAATTGAAAAACAAAATGTTAACAGGAGGGAGGGAATCAACAAGAAGTATGTTTTTAATCATGAGAACTCAACAGCAGCAACAACAACAACAGCAACGACAACGACAACGATGAGAACAACGACAACGACAACAACAACAACAATCCGCATCGCGGAATCACAATTCAGCCGCGCACCCAGGGACAGTGAATGACCGCTCGGCCCCAACTCTGATGTATTTATATATGCATATACAGATACATCACATACATACATAAATACGTACGTACGTACGTACGTACGTACGTACATACATACATACATACATACATACGTACAAGTCGTACCCCAGAGCCTCTTTCTCTCCTTCTCGCACACGTTCCTTCTCTCTCTCTCTCACCGGCTCTCCCTCTTTCCCTCTCTCTCCCTCTTTCTTTTTTTCTCTATCTCTCTCTCTCTCTCTCTCGCTCTGAACCCCAGTGCCCTCTGTGACCCCAGAACCCCTTCTGGGACCCCAGAGCCAGTCCATCTGGGTCCTCAGAGCTCCTGTCGCTGGGAGCCTACAGCTCCTCTCCATGGTATCCCAGAGCCCCGTTTCTTGG